AATACCGCACTGTCAACCAACCGCGAACAAATATTTGGAATTTGACTCTCCCAGGCCACCGTAATCGTCTTCTTTAAAACGTAATCACAGGAAGTTTTAATGCCTAAAGTTTATTGGTTAAGAAGTTTTTGAAGCCAGGTTTATTAATACATTTTCGGTAAAACTCTTGATATTACCCTGAATCTTGCCGCCCAAAATTCATACTTATCCTGTACATTAATCTACTCCGGACAGTGTTATTTTCCGCCAATATTCCACGCTCATTTTTTTCCCTGCTTAGAACTCTTACGCTTTTGAAGTGTGGATAGCGTTCTCGGGGCAAGGGTTGAGTTCATGCCAGCGATGCATGTTCTGAACGATTAGATTAGAAACTAGCTAAACCACCCTGTTATTGTTAAAAGGTCACGCGGAACTTATCAACTCGAGAAGAGAGTTATCTGTGGAGAGCAGCTGCCAGCGCCCTATCAGATGAGTGAATAACCTCCAGCAGAAGCCAGACCTGCTCAGTATTCCTGCCCCGTCTTCCCTCAGCCTCTCTGGGTTTGTCACCGCCGCACAAGGCCCTCGATAATGCGCTCCCTCATTTGGCTGCCAGTCACAAACGCACTTTTAAAAGGATTATATTAGGCTATTTCCTGATCTATGTTATAATGTTCCTCATCAGAAACAGAGTTGAGTTTTGTTTCATTCACAAATCTTGAATATGTAGGTGTTTTTAGGAGTTTAGGAGTTTTTCTCTCAAACTGAAAACACTTGATGTCTCAATAAACCTTCACTAGGATCTAGTGTTGTAGGCAAGACCGCACTAATCGAAACCAAGACCAGTCCGAGACCACAGGGTCCCAAGACCGAGACAAGATCAAGAGCTCTGAGGGTCGAGACCGAGACAAGACCAAGACGTCTGGGGGTCGAGACCGAGACAAGACCAAGACGTCTGGGGGTCGAGACCGAGACAAGGCCAAGACGTCTGGGGGTCAAGACGGAGATAAGACCAAGACTTTCAAAGGCTGGGACCGAGATAAGACCAAGACCATGACTGCTGGAGACCAAACCGAGACCATCTGTGTCATTTTCTACATTTATTTGTATTTTACATTTACTTTGGTACATTTATATTAAAGTTTTTTTAAATCTATCTCCGTAATGAAATATGATTGCACTCAACGACTGTCAGATTTTGAGTGCGAGACAAGACCGAGTCCAAGCTCCTTCAAGACCGAGACAAGACTGAGTCCAAATGCGGTCAAGTCCAACACAAGACCAAGACTTTTAAAGGTTGAGACTGAGACAAGACCAAGACCATGGTTGCTCGAGACCAAATCGAAACCATCTTTGTCATTTTCTACATTTATTTGTATTTTACAGTTACTTTGGCACATTTATTTTAGTGTTTTTATAAATTTATCTCCGTAATGAAATATGATCACACTCGACGAGTGTCAGACCTCGAGTTCAAGTCAAGACCGAGTCCGAGTGCCTTTAAGATCGAGAAAAGACTGAGTCCAAATGCGATCGAGTCCGAGACAAGACCAAGACTTTTAAAGGTCGAGACCAAGACCATGGTTGCTCGAGACCAAATCGAGACCATCTTTGTCATTTTCTACATTTATTTGCATTTTACAGTTACTTTGGCACATTTATATCAGTGTTTTTATAAATCTATCTCCGTAATGAAATATGATCGCGCTCGATGAGTGTCTGACCTCGAGCCCAAGACAAGACTTGAGTCCAAGCGTCTTCAAGACCAAGACAAGACAGACTTCAAATGCATTCGAGTCGGAACGAAACCAAGACCGTAAAAAAAAAAACAAAAAAAAACAAGACTGGTCTTCGAGTACTATGACACTACTAGAATCATTTGGATATTTTCAATTAAACAATGTAAAAAGGAGCTGTTAATTTGAAAACTATCTCAAGGTGGAACAGAGCATTCTGAGGTTTGGAGATGTAGACAGACAAAAAAAAATTGATCACTCCAACATGTGTGAATGAAACAAAACTTGACTCCAGGTATGTTTTTGAGGAGGTCCAAAGCAAGAAAAATGACGAAGGCTTTTTTGCCAAAACGTTATTTAAATTTTTTTTTAAAAGCTTTTGAGCATCGGCCATCTGACTGTGCTATGCATTTTTTCACTTTTATTTTGCTGTTCCTCGCATTTGCACTTCTACGAGAACGTTTGTTGTGCGTTTTCTGTTTCATTCGATGTTTTGAGGAGGTACCAACACTCTAACTCGACTTAAATCTCACAAGAGTCAGTTTTGCGTAATATAGGACTTTTAATAACACTTTCAGGGCCAGTTCTGCGTGTGGGATTTTCTTCACAGGAGGGAGGGCTCATTCGGCATTAACTCCGGCCTGGACTGTAATCAGAAGTGGCCTCGATGTAACGCAGAGAGCTGGTCTTATGGGATAGAAGAGCTTTAATTGAGCAGAGATGGTTTTACTACTCTTGTTGCTTATGTTACGTAACTGCACGTATCATAATCTGGACAAATCATTGTAATTTTATGATCATAGAATTGCTAAGAAAACAGAGAGAACTACATAGACCTTTGCTCCGTTTCAGTGTAGACCACGTGATGAAATAACTGTTCTAAGCACTTTTAAATCTTAGTTCATTGGGTTAAGTCTTGTTGAGGCATTTTAAATTTGTTTGCCTCCACAAAATGTGATCGCAATTATATACAAATATAGATATATTCTAGATAAAAACAGTCCTTTTATTATATACAACTCGCTGGTAATGCCCTACATAACCTACGATATTGAGATTTGGGGCAATACATATAAGACTAATACAAATCCAGTCTTTACCTCGGAAAAAAAGGCAATAAGAGCAATCACATTATCAGCTTATAACGAATCAACCAATGTGTTATTTATAAACCTTCAAACTCTGAAATTTTATGATTTAGTCGAACTTTATACTCTGGAAATCATGTTCAAATCCTGTCAAAATTGTTCAAATGTTCAAAATACACAGCCATGTTTATCAAAAAGAAAATCAGAACAAACATTATGAAATTTTGTAAATCTGCTAAAGGGGTGGAGCTGTGGAACAACTGTACAGAAAACCTAAAATTGTGCTCCAGTCTCTTTCACTTTATAAAGAAGTTTAAATGTTTAACTCTGGACAGATACATGAATTATGACATTTAGTTTGTGCTGTAGAACTTTGTTGTGATGTTACTGATTTGTTCGTTTCCTCTCACTGTATTTATGAAGATGAGCTGGTGTCAAGATGAAGCACTGATAAAGGAATAAAGGGTAAAGGCATAATAAGCTTAAGCTTCAGCCTGCACCTTTTCGGTCTGTGTATGTTAAATATGACTGTCTGTGAAATAATGTCAAAATATACCTGTGGCAATGAATATCGTACCGTGAGATGTATGTCGTAAATCTCATACTGAGAGATTTCGATATTGTTGCGTCCCTAATGTCAACAGTACATCGCAGTGAAGAACTACACGAAAAAGTGATGTTTTCTTGTTTCCAGTTTTGTTTCCAACTGGTTTATTCAGAGTTTTAGAGTATTAAGTATCAAAAAATGACCTTTTCCAACACGTATACAACATTTTTGAACAAACTGAATAATGGTCGTTGGGTTTCAAAACAAGTAGTGATTTATTCCTTTAAAAATGTTTCGCTGTCTTTGAGAATCGGTAGTGTTTGTCGAGCTCCCCGTGTCTTATATCCGGTGCAGCCTCGCCCGACTACTTTCATTTCAAAAGCAGAAAGATCATTACGAGTCACTTGTTCCCAAAGGTTTGTTTCTGGCAGCCTTTGCCGCTGTTACAACTTCAAATAATGTGTGTTGTTCTTTATGACATAACAATTCTCAGCCCTAATTACTCCTGTCCATCATCCTCGCTCAATGAAAACACACCTCGAGCTGCTTTGTAGTGGAGAAAAAGTCTGGGCACGCGAGGCTGAACTTTTACAACGTTAATATAATAACGTAAACTTTTTTCATTGACAACTTACCCTTTAAAGTGCTTATGACAATTTAATTTCTTCTTAATTTGGTGGGATAATACCCGTTGTAAATATAAATTATAGTTTTAAACGAATCAAGAAGCAATTTGCAAAGAAAAGTTGAAAAATGTGTGGAAAATTACAGGTAGTAAAGGGTTATAAATGTATCAGTGACATCACAATAGAGAGAATTTGTCCAAAAGTTCTGCAATTTACACGCAAGAATCACTTTTTCTGTGATTTTAAACATTTATTTTGTTGAAATTAATCAAATCATAATTTTTGGTGCACTTTGGAGCAGTTTGGGCCCAGTTGCACATCAGTTTTGGAATTCCCTAGTGTGATGTTATGATTTCCTAGCCTGATTCATCAGCCCGTTTCACTTTGTAGAAACTGTCTGACCTCGCAACCTTAGGATTCGTTCGCTCGATGGCAGGCAGGTACTTTTTTAAATTAACCAATCGCTGCTATTTGGTTGTGACGTATGTAATGCGCTGCCAACGGGGATAACTGATATATTAAACTTTTCCCAAATCCCGTAGGAAGAAGGGCAATAACGTATTTCCCCTTGATGAAAATCACCAAACATTCTCTTTATTCCGGCTTTAAATCCTCGATCTCGGGAATCGTCGACAACACTGAATGTATGACTCTTCGCTGATTGGTTGGTGCTCAAACTTGCACTTCCAGGGTTATTGCAAACCGTCTAGAGTATTCTGATTCCTGACCTAGTTGCTGGAGAGAAAAGAAATTGAGTGAAGGCACCAGGTGGCGCCAGCCTGGCTAATGATTTCCAACCAGAAAGTAAAATTTTAAATGTGAAAAATTGCCAAATTTGATAAAGAAAAGTTCAGTCTTTAGTAACATCTTAACCGTGCTTTGGTGAAATGTGTAGTTTGTCTTGTATGTTTTATTGCTGCCTGGTTGTTTTAGCTCACAGACTGAAAACTCTTTGTGTGTACCGTAGCTAAAAGTGGTGTAAAGTGTGTATATTGACGTGTGCATCTGGTCCCCCTCTGTCCAGAACAAGACCACATCCCGGTGATGCGTGGGCAGTGGTTCATCGACGGCTCGTGGCTCCCTCTGGACGAAGAGGAGAGCGACCTTATCGAGCACGAGCACCTCCGGCACTTCAGGGGGCAGCAGGTGCAGGACACGCTCGAGACGGACATGGTGGTCAGCACGGTCGACCGCAAAGATGGTGAGAATCACACTGTGGCTACAATAAATTTATTCTGTATTGGTAATGATCAGAGATTTCTCACGGCCAGATCAGTGATTTTGTGTTATAACTTAATATCTTTTTCCATCACTGAATAGAAGAATATAGGCGCAGTAGCTGATTTTTACCTTTATTTTTCACAGAACTCGTTCGTTTTAAAGGTGCACTGTGTAACTTTTCTGGTGGAGGGTCCGCCATTTGCTTGTCTCCCTGGAGATTTTGTTACTTAATCTGGAATATTCCGGTATAGGCTCTGGCAACTTCATTCATGGGGTCACTATTTCCTGTCCAATTGTGTGTCTAGGTTTTTTTTTTTTTTTTTTTGCTTAGTCGTGCTAAATTTAATACATATTTAAAGAAAAGTTGAGGCGTTGGACAGCGAGTTATGGGTGGATGTGACTGAAAAGTGTTAAAAAGTACATAAATAAAATTAATACTTCGCCCTGAGGTGAAGCGAGGTGTTGGCTAATGCTTATTTTGAGGCATAATAAATATTAAAATAAAACAACACCACAAACTGAAGTCATCTCTACTAAAAAATATTTGGGTAGTCTTTATCTTTACTTTAATTAATTTGATATATTTTTTTTACGATTTGCATGTCGCGCCATGAGATCTATATCGTGAAAATATCCTACCGAGAAATTTGGATATTGTTACATCACAATGAAGAACTACATGAAAAACGTGTTTGTTTGTTTTTTAGTTAATCTGGTTTATTCAGAATTTTATCAAGTATCAAATGGACCTTTTCCATTTTGTATACAACAGTTTTTGAACAAACTTTCATTTCAAAAGCAGAAAGATCATTACAAGTCACATTTTTTAAATAAAAGTGACTTGCTTTCAGACACAGTGGGCTAAACAAATATATCCATCTCGCGTTTTCTCAATAACATGGGTTTTATTGACCTAAAAACTTGCATTCTGACTGTGAATGGGCTCGCCGCTCTACAGATCTGACTTGTAACTTGGCCCTATGGCGTCGCCTGCTGTCTCTGTAGAAATAAATACATGCAATGCCATACTGTGGAACATTTCAGTTAATGCCTCCATGGAGAGAGGCTAGTAACGGACCCTCTACCAGAAAAGTTCCACAGTGCACCTTTAAACAGTTCGCAGTGGTTCAAAGTTATTCCTCACTTATTTTATACACTCCTAATTATTCACCACGATGAGTTTATAATCACTTTTCACAAATTTCTGGGCCCCGAGTAGAGTTTTGCCATCACGCCGATACTAACAACAACTAGCATGCTAACAGCGCACTTCTTGATTGTCTGAGGATGAAACGCTTTAGAATTAATGTTGATCCTAAGAGTTGATTTTACAATAAATCTACACTGGAGCAAAGCTAATTTTACTTCCCTACATTTGAAAAAAATTGGGTATAGTCAGAATCGCACATATTTTAGAAGTTTTAGAAGAGTTTTTTCAAGGTTAGGGGTCCGCTTCCATGGAGATGCTATTGTTTTGCCTGAAATGTTCCACCATATAGTATTAAATGTACATAAGATGCATTTATTCAGTTATTGGCGTTTTTATTGCTAGAAAATACCTTTAAAAACATGCATTCCTGCTTTGAGTGGGGTCGCCTCTTCACAGATCTCACCTGTAAATTGCCCCGGTGGCGTGTCCTGCTTGTTTCTATGGAGAATGGAAAATGTAATGCCGTACTTTGGAATATTAGAGGCAAAGCGACAACATCTCCATAACTGTCAGAGCGTTTACCAGAAAAGTATAAGCAAATTAAACAAAAAAGGAGCCAGAGTTTATGTATTCAATTCAATAAAGTCTTCATCGTCTCCTAAGACGAAGGACACGGAACACCGATCTGGCTATTAGAAATCTATTAAAATGCTAACGGATGCTAACGGAAGGAGAGTAATTCCATTTGACTCCATTTGAGCCGTTTAGTATCGATTCGGAAGGATGAGAGGGAGAGTGCTTTTGTTTTTTTTCACAGGTGGAGCTCGCGTCGTCGCTTTTTAAAGGCCTCCCGGGTCAGGCCAGCTCGCCGATACCGTAGCTCCGGCAGCGGTCCGTCTGATCAGCGGCTCCTTGAGGCAGTGCTGATTCATGCGTGGGCGCGCGAATGAAAACAGACGCGGGGACCGGCGGCGACGGGGGGGAAGGTGCAGCGCAAATGTTTAGACTGCGATACCGAAGCTGAGCGCCAATTAGCAATTCAAGTCAAGAGGTTCATTCACGCTAAACAGAAGTAATGTACACTGTGAAATAAACACACACTGCTTTTAACGGTGCACTCTAACGTCTAAGATGAAGGCTCCTAAACTTGCTCGTCTCCATGGAGCTGTTATTTCTTCGCCTGAAATGTTCCACAGTAGAGCATTAAACATATCTCCCTCGCTTGTGTTCAAAAATGCCTTAAAAAAACATGAATTCTTACCGTGTGCAGGCTCGCTTCTCCATAGATCTGACCAGTAACCCGTCTCCGATTGCGACTGCGCTTACCATGTGTTATTTATTTCCGTGCTGTAGAATAATCAAGGCAAACCGGTCTAAAATATCTCCATGGAGACGAGACACCGGAGAAGTTACGCAGTGCACCTTTAAACCTCTCTACGTGAAATTTTTCTGTTTTTTTCCCGTCACAGACAATATTACGCGACGTCTTAATTTAGCGTATTTTTAGAATCTTGTAGGCAGTTCATGGTGTTCATCTGGGAGTGTTAGGCATGTATGGCTATGGCGGAATGTTCAGCAGTTGCCATGGTGAGAGAACGCATTAGCAAAGACTGCCAAAAAACGTGATAGTCTGTAAGCTCAATAAAAGATAGAAAACTGATTTAAAGAGCGTGTTTTCCGGAGCCTGCTGCGTTCATGGTCCTGTTTACAAAAAGGCTCTAATATTATTTGAAAGGGACTTCTGACAGAGCAGTGCCTACAGTTAGCGTCATACCCCCAGGTAATGTTGTGAAAAAAGCGGTACCATTTAATAATAACTGCTACTTTCTAGGGATGGGGCAATATCTCGCGCCACAAGATCGTGCACACGTCTTAAAAATGATCTCGTGAGATTTTTGGATTGAAAAAATACTGGTGCGTTACATTTTTGAGAACATGTAGTCCCAAAAAGCAGAGCTACATTGACAGCGGAAATATTAAATAAAATAAAATGGTGAGCTGAATTGTATAAAGCCTAAATAACGTCAAAATCTCGTCTTGTCTCGTTCTCGTAGATCCAATCTTTTGTCTCGTCTCGTCTTGTGGAAATTATATCTCGTCCCACTCGTACTACTTTGATTTCATTCATAGACTTAATTCACAATGAAGTATTTTGTTAAGAACCATCTATGCTACATAACTACCAAATGGAGCTTCATAGTCATGTTCAATTTTAATAGTGCAATGGCATCGCGGAGGTTAAACAGATGTAATAACTAAGCTACGTTCAGACTGCAGCCTGAAGTGACCCAAATCCGTTTCCGCCGTGTGACCTGTATCTGATCTTTTAATGACAGTCTGAACGACACAGATCTGATTATTATTTTTTTTTCAAATGCGGCCCAGGCCATTTGGATATGTGCTCCTAAAACCGATACATATCCGATCTTTTGACATGCGACTTCAGTCTGAACGGCCAGGTCACATTCATCCCACCTACACGTCACAAATGTTCACAAACATTCTTCTCGTCACATGGAAATTGTGAATGAACGCCGTGTGAATAAAGCAGCGAAGCACATAACAATCCCACCACTCTTGGCTGCGACTCTGCACCCACATGTTCCTTTCTACGGACGTGACTGCCACTGCCTCACAAAACGCCACGGCCAAAAACCTCGTCCTTCTCCTTCTCAATCTCCTCCTTAAAACAAATAAGATGTACATGTTCTGGCAACTTTAAAATCTCCAGATGCTCAACGCCGCATCCATGTTTAGGCGACTTCCGTAAACACAGAGCACTCTCGCTGTGTGTGACGTCGCCGCGTCCTCCAATGCGTATGCTGGACACTTTTGGGATGTTTAAAGTTCACACTGGAGGTCACATACAAGTCGCAGTTAATTGGAAATGTGAACAACCTCGCAAAAACATCGGATTTCACAAAAAATCCGAATTGAACTTTAAGCCCTGCAGTCTGAACGTAGCCAAATATCCGTAACACAGTTGTTTTAAGTCCAAAAAGCGCATTTAAAACTCAAGATTCAGCTAAATATTTTAATAACTAAGCAGTTTATAACGTTTCAGAAATAGGGTTAGTCGAGTAAAATGATAGGCCTTGTGGTCATTGGTCACCGCAGGCTGGGCAAGTTTCAAACCTTTACTGGGAGTCCGTTTGCGGGAACGAGAAATTGACTTCCAGAACCAGGGCGTGGGCTGTCACTTGAACTCCATTAATGGTTTTGAGTTAAAAGTAGATCTTAAGTAGTCATGATTCATTCTTTTTTATACTTATATTGCTTTATTAAGGTCAGTTAAAGCAAGTTTATTATAAAATGGTACCTAAAAATCTTTAAAAACTCACTGTTTCATTTTTACTCACCAAAGTATGTCCCTTTACTTTTCCGTTTTACGTCATGAACACTGCATAGGCATGGAAAAATACTTGCCAACTGAAGGCACTTGTATATTAGTGACTGGTATTAAAAATATACCCAGGACTAGTTCGACTACATTGCATCATGTTGAGATTTGAATCATCTTCGCACTATAATAATACGTATGTACACACCTATGTAAATAATTTTTGCGGCTCAATATGTTTTAAGTCTTGACTCCGCTTGGCTTTACCTGCGAACCATTAAGTGTGCATAGGCTATAAGTAGGTTTTTAAGAAGTGCATAACTATTGATTAACGCACAATGCACTTATCTCTCCTCCCCCTCTCGAGCTCCATCTCTTTCTTCGTAGAGAGTGTAAAGGTTAGTAAAGAAGATAGCACATAGGGTAAACACACGCTTTTGCTGCCATAACATGTAAGATTGTAAGTAAGAACAGCGCACAAAGTTCATTT